GTCGATCTTCAACCTTATTGACACATTCTATCAATAAAATAATATTACACATAAACCTAAAAATTCTCCTTACTTTTTAACCACACATTCTTCCATAAATCACTATTCAAAAACACATTCTTTCACAAAAATGGGTGTCAAACACCCCCTAAATGTTGTTTCCACTAAGGTTTTCCTTGAATGAAATCTACTGATAGGGCTCAAATACTATAAAGTGAAGGTTGGGGGCTCATATGATGACAGAATTAATGAGAACATTAGCTTGACTGAGTATACAATATGAACTCTATGTGCAGAATTCCTTGAGAATTTATATTCTGAAGAACTGCGAGCAGTATAACAACTAAGGCTACATGATTTCTCTTCCGTCACATCTAGATTCTTACCGACTATCAAGTTAGTTTTGGTCTAGCACTCCCTCTTTTACAGGTTCTACCGAGATCGTATCAATCGCTGTCACCACAACTTGTCGGTGTATAATCTCAATTTCTTAGTATGACTACGCATTCGTCTTAGCATCATCCTTAATACAACACCCATGTTGTGTATATCTTGTCCTTAATTTTTTTTCCCTTAAATATTAGGATTAATTTCAAACACAAAAGGACAGTGTCCTCTTTCCATCAAGAAAGGGGTTGGTGATCTTCAATTGTGTTTGGAACATCAACTGTTGCTTTAGACTCTAGAAGAAGAGATTTGCCCTCCAATATATGTATAGAGCAAGGCCTACATCTGGTCTCAACAAACAATAGAAAGCAAAACTTCATTGACAGGGGTGGTGGGGCTGGTGTTGATGCACGCTGATTAGATAGTGTAAATATGGAATTGATTCATGATTTTGGTTCTTTGTTCCTTTACTGATTAAACTGCCATATAACATTGAGAAGACATGAAATAAAAGCTTACAAATCTTTCTTTTTTATTTGCTGCAGACTTCTCTTACATATATCATGTCATTAACATGAACACATGTTTTATTACATTTATGAAAGTTGAGAACAACATCAGCTTCTGATGCAAAATAGTGTGCAAGAAACTTAGGACAGCCTGTAGATTGTTATTATTAGTATGAAAATGATAGAGATGTTTATTTAGATGCTGGAGTGATCCCTTGTGAATGTATATAATCCTATTCCTGCCTGATAAATATTATCAGTCTTGAGAAATCTATATTCCACTTGGAAATACTAGAGCTTGAACTCTCTGTTGAGATTGAACTCTTCGGATGATGATAACAGCGGTTCCTGCACAAAATGTAACAACCATGACAAAATTCCTAGATATATTCTTCTTCAGAAATTATTCTAACAAACTAATAAATGTCGTGACTTTGGAATTAAATTAGGACAAGCTGATCACAAATTTAAGAGGCTTTTGTCTTTTTAATGAGAAACTGTGGTAAAATCAAAATATGTGATATTGATGGCTAAGCCATATATGTCCACTTAGGAAACAGAATATCTGTTCTGTCAAATGATCAGAATTTTATCAAAATCTCGTAACGTTGAAAGGTCTAACTTCATAGAAAACTGAAGCTTAGGATCTAGATGGGGTTTCATCTTATAACTAGATACTGTAACTATCACTTGCTGTATTTCATATTCGACCTGTATTTCCGTGTCTTTCAGCTACCTTATTACCTACTTTGACTTCAGGCCTTTGTGAAATATTTATGCGAATCGTCTTAAAATATCTTTGCTAGATAGCAAGTTAAATAGACATTTAACTGAATGATGGACATGCCTGAAAGATCTTGCGTTGAAAGACTTGAGAAATCACATGGAGGCATCCTTCTTTGCTGTCCTTGTCAAGTGTCTTGTGCATAGAGTCAAGTATTCCACGATAAGTTATTATTTGATTGTTTGTAATTGCATCTTTTATAGCTTTTACAAATGTGTATGTCATGGCACCAGTCATATCTTTTTTTGGAGAGAGGGCCTGCAAGAGAAGCGAGCAAAGTTGCTATTGTATCGTTCATGTGCTAACTAAAAATTTAAACCGTTAGAAATGGGATTCAACACGCCCCTTCACATGCAAGACGGATTTATTTTCTCATTATAGTATGATACGTGAACAATTTTGACAAATGGATGACGGCAAAACCTCATGACATTTGCCTCTTTTAATATTGTGTTGAACCACATCGTGTAAAAGATTAAGCAGTTAGAGATTTCATGTGATTGGCTGAATGCAACCAGTGGTGATCCCGAGGAAGAAGAAATGAGAGGAAAAAGTACAAACAGATGTGTCTGCAGCCAGCTGATAATCCTCACAAGCACTGAAACATATAGCCTTTCCACCATTTGTATCTTTAGAAGCTCCTGACGGAGGTCGGTTGTCCTCCCATTTTCCACTGATGAAAACCCAAAACGAACAACATTGAAATCATATCAGGACAATGGGTTTTTTTACATCTCTGAGCATGCAAAGCAAGTAAGCGAGTGAATTTAGTTTTATGTCAAAAATCTCCAATCCTTCCTTATAAGATTTTCCAGAAATTTGAAGCTGAGATTTAGAATAATCGACGATCACTAATGTACTACTGCTCTTACATTCAAGATAGCAAATGTCACGATATTGGCTCAGTCTACTAAATAGACTTGAAGAAAAGTAGGAGTATGACTGAAATAGCAGCATACCAATTAACATGAAATAAGTCTAAAAAAGATAATTTAAATTAAGCATATGCAAACCTACTATTTTTTACGGTACTGAGTGCAGGGCCATTAAATGATATTAAGAGTTGGGGGTCCATCTTAAAAGGTCAACCTTATTAAGAGGAGTAGCCCAAGATCTTTATTAATTGGTCTGTGTCAACATCTTTATTCGATGTGGGATTATATCCCTTAACACGCCCCCGCAAGATGGTGGCTCATTTG